CGTTACTAAAGTTCTAAACTGACGTTGTCGAATTAGTAAGGGAGGCTTGAGCTCAGCTGTTAAACTGTCAACTAGTTCTGCACAAAAGAGGGTTTTTAAAGACACTCCGTTGTTGTTTCTTTTTTTATTTACACACTCGTGCCGTCGAACTGTTGTATAAATGCAATATCACACTCGTAGCAGTGAGATATGGCTGTATATCAGCACAGATATGATAACCTACAGCCAAATCACAGCCGTGCGATATACAGCCATATCGCACTGCTACTCATGTGATATTGTGTGTATATATTTAAATTTAATTGTGTATTATTTAATAAATAGTTATTTTAATACCACTATCACACCTGCAACTTTTGCCTCTTAATGTGATTTTTTTGTTGTTGTTGTTTTAAATATTAGCATCTCTGAATTTAAGATTCTAAAAAAGTTGAGAAGATTTAAAGAATCAGTTTGCGTTATTATTGACAAACAGTGCAGACAACATGTTGGTTCGTTTTAACTAGATGGATACTGTTATGATTATTAATGAAATTAAATGATTTATTGTTCCACAGACTGAAAAAAGCTGTTTTCAATTACTCATATTTCATTACTTCAATTACTCATTAAGTAATCAAATACATAATGCATAATATATGAAATACATAATATATTAATTTACTCATTTTAGAGCATAAATATTAATATATTGGAAGGCTGAGAAACATCAAGACGTGTTTAGCTACAGTAGTGTTAACTGTAGAGTCAAATGTGCACACTCAGAATAGTTTTGACATCAGTGCCCACGTGTAACCTCAGACTCCTGAAGTGCCTTAAAGATGCTGGAGAATCAGAGCAAGAGCTTTGGTTTGGTTTGATGGAGGAGCGGGGCGAGGCCGTCGTTTGTGTGTGAGATAGCCGAAGAGGAGGGAAATCCATCTTCTTTTCTGAGTTCTGTTCCTTCTGTTCTCTCAGCAAAGGCCGATCAATTACAGCTAATGCTCATGAATCAGGCTGACGGAGACACACGGTCCTGTTCAGAGGGAATGTGGACGTGGATCTCGACAGGAGTAAATATGGACGGCATGGAATAAACTGCCGAGATCAACGATCTATTACAAGCCATTAAAGCAGAGAGAACGAACGATAATAATATCAGCAAACTAACAGTTCAAACACAGCATTGGCCAAATTAACTTTAAAACACACGCTTAACTAGTGCTCGATTGATTAAGGTTTTTTATTGATTAACAGCGTAGCAGAAAGTAATCCATTACAGTATTGCATTACTCCATGAAAAAGTAACTAATTGCATTACTTAGTTACTATTATGGAAAGTTGTGCATTGTGTTACTTTTGCATTACTTTTTGAGTATTGTGCATTACCTGGGCTGGGCTTGTTTAATTGTTTTTTCATAACAAAACCCCAAAAGCTATATTTTTGGCCACTGTAAAGGCCCTTTCACACCAAAAGTGAAATGAATAAGCCTCAGGCTGAAGGAAGATAAAAATCCTATATACATATAATTGTATTTATATACATATAATCTACATGTAATTTAAATGTAATGTGTTACTTGTTACTTGAAAAAGTAATCTGATTACATAACTCACGTTACTTGTGATGCAATTACTAGAGAGTGAGGGGCCCAGTACAATATTAA